CCAATAAATATATGAAACAAACATCCCTTCCCCTCCCCCCCCCACCCCTGTTGTCTCAGAGCTGAGCAGCGAGTTCCGGTCACAGTGACGCGCTCACTGTGCTAGTTACCAATGCTAGTTTTGATTAGTAGTGATCCATTTTTATTTATGGTTTTTTATCCAGTATTTTTACTATTATCATTAAATATTGATTATTATTATTATTTATTATTTTTTTTATTATCACACTGGCCGATTCCCACCAAGGCAGGGTGGCCCGAAAAAGAAAAACTTTCACCATCATTCACTCCATCACTGTCTTGCCAGAAGGGTGCTTTACACTACAGTTTTTAAACTGCAACATTAACACCCCTCTTTCAGAGTGCAGGCACTGTACTTCCCATCTCCAGGACTCAAGTCCGGCCTGCCGGTTTCCCTGAACCCCTTCATAAATGTTACTTTGCTCACACTCCAACAGCACGTCAAGTATTAAAAACCATTTGTCTCCATTCACTCCTATCAAACACGCTCACGTATGCCTGCTGGAAGTCCAAGCCCCTCGCACACAAAACCTCCTTTACTCCCTCCCTCCAACCTTTCCTAGGCCGACCCCTACCCCGCCTTCCACTACAGACTGATACACTCTTGAAGTCATTCTGTTTCGCTCCATTCTCTCTACATGTCCGAACCACCTCAACAACCCTTCCTCAGCCCTCTGGACAACAGTTTTGGCAATCCCGCACCTCCTCCTAACTTCCAAACTACGAATTCTCTGCATTATATTCACACCACACATTACCCTCAGACATGACATCTCCACTGCCTCCAGCCTTCTCCTCGCTGCAACATTCATCATCCATGCTTCACACCCATATAAGAGCGTTGGTAAAACTATACTCTCATACATTCCCCTCTTTGCCTCCAAGGACAAAGTTCTTTGTCTCCACAGACTCCTAAGTGCACCACTCACCCTTTTCCCCTCATCAATTCTATGATTCACTTCATCTTTCACAGACCCATCCGCTGACACGTCCACTCCCAAATATCTGAATACATTCACCTCCTCCATACTCTCTCCATCCAATCTGATATCCAATCTTTCATCACCTAATCTTTCTGTTTTCCTCATAACCTTACTCTTTCCTGTATTCACCTTTAATTTTCTTCTTTTGCACACCCTACCAAATTCATCCACCAATCTCTGCAACTTCTCTTCAGAATCTCCCAAGAGCACAGTGTCATCAGCAAAGAGCAATTGTGACAACTCCCACTTTGTGTGTGATTCTTTATCTTTTAACTCCACGCCTCTTGCCAAGACCCTCGCATTTACTTCTCTTACAACCCCATCTATAAATATATTAAACAACCACGGTGACATCACACATCCTTGTCTAAGGCCTACTTTTACTGAGAAATAATTTCCCTCTTTCCTACATACTCTAACTTGAGCCTCACTATCCTCGTAAAAACTCTTCACTGCTTTCAGTAACCTACCTCCTACACCATACACTTGCAACATCTGCCACATTGCCCCCCTATCCACCCTGTCATACGCCTTTTCCAAATCCATAAATGCCACAAAGACCTCTTTAGCCTTATCTAAATACTGTTCACTTATATGTTTCACTGTATTATTATTACATAAATGATAACCCAATTTGACGAGAAAATTTTAAGCGGCGTTTCGGTCAGTTCTGGAGCATTATCAAGTTATAAGAGAAAATGAAAAAAATGAAGAGACTTGTGAGTTGAGAAGGAAGTCAAGGTCAGGTTAAGTGTTCTGATGACTGGATCAGCTGACAGCGCTGCCGGGAAAGAGAAACTTCATCACAAACCAAACCGAGATTGAGAGTCGTGTCAGGAATACTGTAAGCGTCGAGTCAACAAGACAGCGTGTGTGAAGGCAAGAAGTTGGACTGACAGTTTCAGAGAAGCAGCTCATAGGTTGGCTATACTTTCATGAAAACATGAACGCTGTTAGTGTAAGGACAGCACGACTCTCGTGCTCTTCAAGTCTGTCAGAAAGATAGCGGACTGTTCCAGCAGTGTAAAAATAGTGAAAAGGAATAAGTATAATGTTTGCAGGAAACAGGACAAGTGTTTCCTGGCGCGAGTCTTAAGTCATATGACCCACAGCTGGAGCTTTTGGTCATCTGATCGAGGACTTCCGCTGGCTTACCCGTCCACCCCTTTAAAACTCGTGGTTATGATTAGAAGCATTATAGTGCAAAGGAAATAGAGTCGACGCCCTAAGTATTGATGGCAAGAGTATTAACCAGACTGTTACGAAGTATATTAGTCTAAGTGCAGGTTTAATACCCAAAGGATGAAGGGTCTTATTAAAGATTTTGATAAATCAGAATTATCGGGATTACCAAGTGCAGAAAACTTCGCAAGAAAAGTGAGTTTTGAAAAGAAGAAATTCCCATTAGCTAGAGAGATGGCAATTTAAGAAACTGGGAGGATAGCCATGATGAGAGAATGAAGTGGGGAGAAGGATAATTTCAGAGGAGAGGCAGCCTGGCAGCTGTCTGGGGTCTCCATCTGGTCTCGGTGGTGAGATGTGAATAGCGCTTTTCACAGGTTGGATCCATTCACTGCTCTTGGAAATAAAAAAATAAACATTTGAACATACAGAGGAAAACACAACAATTAAAACCAATCATGAATAAAACAAACAACACACAAGTACTATCATACCAAGTCAAAATAATCAGCACTAGTTAAAATTTCTAGTAAATTATCGCATTTCAGGATCCTCAGGATCTTGAAATGCAACCAGGTAATTATATAAAAAAATGAAGTGGAAAATGGCTATGTCGTAGGCAGTGAAAAGGAGTTTCACAGTCAGCTGGACACCACAAGCTACACCGAGAGGAGCACGAACACCTACAAACATGTAAATGTTGGTGAGACATGTGTTCCCGAGCCTCAATCGACAGATTCGTCTCAGAGTGACGATTCCGGTTGGAGGAAGGCTAAATGCCCACGTCCTGCCTAATCTTGTATAACTTGCTGCCAGTCTGTAGGGCCCAGAAGGCCAGCCACTTCCCGAGTACATATATGTATATGGCTCATGAAGTCACTGTCAGGCAGAAGTCTGATACAGAAGGAGATCGCTATAGCAGTCTTTGCCTCATCTGTCAATTCAGTTCCCGGGACACCAACATGATCCGGACACCAACAAAACCCTACATTCTTGAGTCGGTGATGAAAGGGAGACAACAGTCTCTAACCTACATTATTATCAGGGGGAGCGCTGAACCCTTAGGGATTATAGAGCGCTTGTAGGGAGGGTGGAAGGTATTCAGGCTCAGTTCAGGGAACTGGAACACAGATTCGATTCCCTAGAACAAGAGCCCCTCACCAGTGTCAAGGAACCTCCCTTGAACACAGGAGGTAGATTAAAGGCCTGTAGTACCTGATCGTAAAACTATGTCAGCAAAAGAAGACAATCATGAGAGCAGAGCAAGGGCAAGAGAAACAGCAGTGGTAGATGTCTTTACCTATGTATTCCTTCACTCCTTATATACTAACATTCTGAATATTGTAAATAGGATATCAGAGTTATGTAGCAGTGCAAGAACCAATCAAGGCATGAGTAGACACGACCAGTGTTTCTGGAAGTCTACCACCCCAGCCAGGTAAGCTAAAGTAACGTCACCTTGGCTGAAGTAACCGGCTTCCACGTGAGTGGTGGGTTGAATCGTACAATAAGTACAGCAGTGGGACCCCAGAACTGCTACACTCTGATGTGCTGAATAAGGCAAGCGAAAATTTGTGTATGCAATAATTTCGTAAAAATCATTTTTTTTTTATTCGCCGGTATTCTCCCGGCCCGGGTCTTTTCCAAGTAGTGGTAACCCGGCCTTGGCTCCCTATCTGGGGAGTATCTCGAGACTTAAGTCTCCCACGGGAGGAGGCACAAGTGCACCCTCATCTTTGGGACGAACTGTCCCCAGGCCTAGCCACATTCTCCGCCCTCACGGGGCTCGTAGGGAGAAGCTAGGCCTCTGGTCTGCCATCTACCCCGCCTCAAAGGGCTCGTGGGGATGGCAGTCTTATGAGCTGCAGGTGGTAGCAAGCTCAGGCCTTCTTATATAAAAAATCATTCTGAACCTAACGAAAAAAAAAATTTCATTTTGTTTGTTTATTAAATTATTGTAAACTTGTATAAATATATTTAAATGGATAAGGCTAAATTAAATTGCGCGTTATAACAAGGTTAGGTAAATTTCCTAAGGTCCTTTTGATACAAAATGATTAATTTTATTAACATAAATGAAAAAATATATCTTTAAATGTATAAGAGAAAATTTTAGAAAGGACTTAATTTTAGATGAGTTCTTGCGAATTGACCAGTTTTACTTATTCGGCACGACATATATAATAGGACAGTAAAAGACCAAGATGAGATATGACCTTATATGACCTTACTGAGCGTGAGATTGTTGTAAAGATTTATTCAGGTCACATATAAAAATTGTAAGAGTGACATGGCAGGCATAGTTTAAAATCCACAGAAATTCTATTATAAATGAATCCTACACCACAATCCTACACCACAATCCTACACCACAATCCTACACCACTATCCTAAACCACAATCCTACACCACAATCATACACAATCCTACACCAGAATCATACCAACCAAACTTATCACCAACAACATAATTATCAACCATCAACATTGTTATTAACCTCACCGCCTCACCATTATAACCACCACCACCACTAACAACAGCTATCATTATACCCACCACCACTAACAACAGCTATCATTATACCCACCACCACTAACAACAGCTATCATTATACCCACCACCACTAACAACAGCTATCATTATACCCACCACCACTAACAACAGCTATCAGTATAACCACCACCACTAACAACAGCTATCAGTATAACCACCACTAACAACAGCATATCATTAAAACCACCACCACTAACAACAGCTATCATTATAACCACCACCACCATTAACAACAATCATTATAACCACCACCACCACCACTAACAACAATCTTCTGGTTGACAGGTCGACGGTAGCGGCGTTGCTGCTCAACAAACACCTTCACATCAACGGCATGACCCGCGGCAGTGTTAAGATCACTGACGATGCTCCCAGCGGCGGCCCAGGTGGCGGTCCCTGCCTCTTGAAGCCCCCGCCGCCGGCACCGCCACCGCCTCCGCCGCCGCCACCGCCACCCCCGCCGCCTCCAGGCAGCGTTCACAGCAATGGCGTGTCGGCGTTCGAGCCCACACGTCCCCCGGCCGAGTCCTGTCTGGAACACACTGTCACTTCCCGCATGGACCTCCCCAACAGCGACGAGTCTACACCTACGCCCTCACCTGGCAGCACGCCCACCTCTAGGCGTGGGCGTATGGGGATGAAGAGGCGGTTCATGGGTGTTGGCGTGAGGAAGAGCTCGGCGAGCGTGGGGCCAGACGCCATCATGAATGTGACAACAACAGGAGAAGCCAAAAAGAAACAAGCATCACTACACAAGATGAAGAGGGAGAGGAAGGTGAGTGGTGGAGATGGGGAGTTTGGGGGGACTGGGAATGGGGAGATTGGAAGGGTGAGAGGGCTGCGGGGAGAGGTGTCAGGGATGGTGAGTGGAATGAGTGAGGAGGAAGGAGACGGAGGATGATGGGAACTAATGGTCACTGGTGGGAAAAAAAATGGCCAAGAAAAAAATGAGCAGCTGGAAGAAGGAAACTTTCTCTGTATAATCCACTCTGGAGGCTTAGTAACCCAGAATAACCCAAGACAAGAAATATGTCTTACTACCCTATACGTCATTTTCACATCTCCTTTTTTCCCAGGTAACTAAAATCAAGGTATTTATTTACTGCTAGGTAACACGGTCAGTTAATGTATGAGGTCTAAGACCGTCCACTCCCAGGGGATCAATGTAAGGCACACAGAATCCTACACAGTAACATTACAAGCGCTTAAAACAAAGCATAATTTCTCAGTGAATATACTTGGAGTGTGTAAACTGTGTGTAGAGATGAGGGTAAATGATGGAGTTAATGGGACGGTTACAGAGGAAGGCTGGCTAATAAATGGTGGATATACGAGACTGAGACTGATGATGCATAGAGAGAGAAATATGCTTACACATCTGTGCATATTATTTCTCTCTCTGTGTGTATTCATCATCAGTTTGAGTGCGTGAAACTGTCGCACTGCTGACAACACTGAAGAGAAGACACAAGTTGTATAACCAGTTGCAATTTGTGACAACGTTTCGCTCTGTGTAGAACTTTATCAGCTCATGTTTTTTTCCCTCTACGTTGAGCTTCCCTCTGTGTAGAGCTTTAAGTTTTCTTTCGCTCTCTGTAGAGCTTTATCAAGTCACGACTTGAAAATAAACTATACAGAAACGTTATCTCGAATAAAAGTTTGTTGAACAAGCTGCGTCTTTTCTTAACGAACGATAACTGAGAATAATTAATTTACCAACAATAAAGAGGAGAAAAGAGCAAGATTTCCATCCCCAAAAAATACACACAAATATTTTCCTCTCGTCAGTGAGAGATTCGCAATTTTTTCCCCACAGCAGTTAATAGGCTTTTCCGAAAATCAAGACCACATATACAGAGAAAAAAGCCAGGCAAAATGAGAGGGAGAGGCGGAAAGACTATCACTGGGACGAATAGAATAGGTCTTATAGACTCCACCGGTGAGAACCTCTCAACCAAACCTTGACTGTCAACTCCTCAATACCTATAAACACATCTTAAAATATAGGCTGAATGCTCCGCAAAGTATAGTCTATCAGAAACTGATATGGTCGCTGAAACCCAAAACTTATCTCAAAACTGCCCGAGGAGGCACGTCAACTCCCTTACAGCTCTTGAACCTGTTATCTACTCCTACATGGAAGTCCAGGAGCTAGAGATCAAATATCTTTTAAGAGCTCAAAAAAAAACACCCAAAAAATACACTTAGAAACACTTGAGCTGTAGATTAACACCCTCATGTGACACAAGGTAAAAAAAAAAAACAACTTTGTGAAGCCTGGACCTGAACAGGTTAAACGCTGAGAAAATGAGACAGTCGCTGTAAACTGGTTGTATCCACAGATCTCACGTCGCTTCATACAACACAGACATGGAAACAATTCTAGTTTACAAGGAATTACTCTCACTGCTGGATCCCACAACCCAATAAACTGATCTTTATGAAATTTCAACAGTAAAATAATGTTGATATATCTAAGGTTAATCTTCAGAATTTGTTTATAAAAACAATCAAATTAGGACATTTACAACGTAATAATAAATAAGAGTTTGTCAGTTGCGAAACAATCTTCAGTTACCGCTCACAAAATAACAATCCCACTTATTAATATTATATTCAGTTAATCTGCGCCTAAAGTCAGTACCTGACCAGCCGGGCTGTGGCTCGTACGTCAGTTTACGTGAGGCCAGAAGTAACAGCCTGGTTGATCAGGCCCTGATCCTCCGCGAGGCCTGATCACAGACCGGACCGTGGGGGCGGTGACCCCCGAAACCCTCTCCAAGTAAACCCCAGGTATTCTACACAACCCAAAATTAATAAGAACCTTTCTTTGGATTGGATAGACGAGTGCTGGAGTTTTGTGGCGTTCGTAAGTCATTCTCAAGTTAGGCACATTATATAATTATATATATTATATATATATATATATATATATATATATATATATATATATATATATATATATATATATATGCTGTAAAGAGTTTTTATGAGGATAGTGAGGCTCAGGTTAGGGTGTGTAGAAGAGAGGGAGAATACTTCCCGGTAAAAGTAGGTCTTAGACAGGGATGCGTAATGTCACCATGGTTGTTTAATATATTTATAGATGGGGTTGTAAAAGAAGTAAATGCTAGGGTGTTCGGGAGAGGAGTGGGATTAAATTATTGGGAATTAAATACAAAATGGGAATTGACACAGTTGCTTTTTGCTAATGATACTGTGCTTATGGGAGATTCTAAAGAAAAATTGCAAAGGTTAGTGGATGAGTTTGGGAATGTGTGTAAAGGTAGAAAGTTGAAAGTGAACATAGAAAAGAGTAAGGTGATGAGGGTATCAAATGATTTAGATAAAGAAAAATTGGATATCAAATTGGGGAGGAGGAGTATGGAAGAAGTGAATGTTTTCAGATACTTGGGAGTTGACGTGTCGGCGGATGGATTTATGAAGGATGAGATTAATCATAGAATTGATGAGGGAAAAAAGGCGAGTGGTGCGTTGAGGTATATGTGGAGACAAAAAACGTTATCTATGGAGGCAAAGGGAATGTATGAAAGTATAGTAGTACCAACACTCTTATATGGGTGTGAAGCTTGTGTTGTGAATGCTGCAGCGAGGAGGCGGTTGGAGGCAGTGGAGATGTCTAAGGGCAATGTGTGGTGTAAATATTATGCAGAAAATTCGGAGTGTGGAAATTAGGAGAAGGTGTGGAGTTAATAAAAGTATTAGTCAGAGGGCTGAAGAGGGGTTGTTGAGGTGGTTTGGTCATTTAGAGAGAATGGATCAAAGTAGAATGACATGGAGTGTATAAATCTGTAGGGGAAGGAAGGCGGGGTAGGGATCGTCCTCGAAAAGGTTGGAAGGAAGGGGTAAGGGAGGTTTTGTAAGCGAGGGGCTTGGACTTCCAGCAGGCGTGCATGAGCGTGTTCGAAAGGAGTGAATGGAGACGAATGGTATTTGGGACCTGACGATCTGTTGGAGTGTGAGCAGGGTAATATTTAGTGAAGGGATTCAGGGAAACCGGTTATTTTTATATAGTCGGACTTGAGTCCTGGAAATGGGAAGTACAATGCCTGCACTCTAAAGGAGGGGTTTGGGATATTAGCAGTTTGGGGGGATATGTTGTGTATCTTTATAGGTATATGCTTCTCAACTGTTGTGTTATGTGCACCTCTGCAAAAACAGTGGTTATGTGTGAGTGAGGTGAAAGTGTTGAATGATGAAAGTATTTTCTTTTTGGGTCATCCTGCCTCGGTGGGAGACGGCCGACTTGTTAAATTATATATATTATATATATTATATATATATATATATATATATATATATATATATATATATATATATATATATATATATATATATAATTCTTTTCTTTCAACAAACTGGCCATATCCCACCGAAGCAGGATGGCCCAAAAAAAAGAAAAAAAAATAAGTTTCTTTTTTTAATTTTACTAATGTGTGTGTGTGTGTGTATTATATATACAGCACAAGCCACGGGGGGTGGAAATCTTTAGCTCAATTACTTTCACACTTCTCAGTGCGTCATCAGGAGCTGTACAATGTTGCAAGGGAGCAACCAAAGCAGGGAGAGGTCTCAGAGTAGCGTAGGTGTCACCGGCCACGGCCACCGGCAAAGGTAACCGTGGCCTGTGACACCTACGCTACTCTGAGACCTCTCTCCCTGCTTTGGTTGCTCCCTTGCAACATTGTACAGCTCCTGATGACGCACTGAGAAGTGTGAAAGTACTTGAGCTAAAGATTTCCACTCCTTTCCCCCGTGGCTTGTCCTGCATAGTTAAGATCGCCCGTCTGCGATTGTTTGCATATTTATATATATATATATATATATATATATATATATATATATAATATATATATATATATATATATATTAATTATATATTTATGTCGCGCGATTTTGGCTTACCGAATAAGGCGAGCGAAATTTGTGTATGCAACAATTTCGCAAAAATCTTTCTGAACCTAACGAAAATATATTTCATTGTGTGTGTATTATTAAATTATTGTAAACTTATCTAAAAGATATTAAGTTGGATTAGGCTAAATTAAATTGCGCTTGTTATAAGAGTAGGTAAGTTTTCTAAGGTTCTTTTGGTACAAAATTATTAATTTTTACATTAACATAAATGAAAAAAAAATATCTTTAAACGTATAAGGGAAAATTTTTAGAAAGGACTTAATTTTAAATGAGTTCTTGCTAACTGACCAACTGATACAATTGGTAAGTTAGCACCTCAACAATCTACTAGTACTCCTAACCTTGCTTTATGTAGGATATATAAACGCTAAGTTTGAAGCCAATCAGAGGAGGCATTCTCTAGTTATCGCACGAAAACGACCATAACGAGTTATTATACAACATCCGCAAATTATCACCTACACAGCCCAGTAACAATCTGAACCATTCTTCAAGATACACAAGCGTCCAAGGTTTGAAGCCGATCGGAAGCAGTATTGTAAAGTTATCTTGGAGAAAGAAAGAAAAAAAAAACAGGTGTAGCTATGTACTAACAAGCAAAACTGCTGCTGCAGCGCTCCTGAATAATTCCTCAGACATCTCGTTGAAAATCACTTTCAGTGAGCAGGAAACAACAATGAAAAACACCATAGTACCTTCTTGTCCGACAATAAATAACGAGACTTAGTAAAAGCTTCCACGTTATCAACGTGATACATTTACCCTCGTTTATTACTATTACAGAGAAAACGGTGATAAACGAGAGTGAAATATTAGGATGAAAATGGAACCGAAGTG